CACACACACAGACAACCCCGTGACAATATGCGTTTTGTAACGCTGTTACACAACACAAAACGCATAAAAACAGAAAAGCAAGCAGTGCCTTTCAACAAATTCGGATGCCCGAATGGTTTCGTACGGTATCTCGAAGGCTCATTGGCTCTCAAGATTAAGAGGATAACGATCATGCTTGAAAGCCGAGGTGCATGATTCGGACATGCAAAGCTTTCGTTTCAGTGTTCTACCTGGGTCACCGTTTCACGCTGTGACGCATAAGACGGATACGTCAAAATGCCTGTCAAACAACGTTCCTGGATAGCACACTGCACAAACAGCTGCAGCGCATCAGAACAACAAAATGAGCCACAAAATGGCAACCTCATTCTTTATATACTACTATCAAATGAAGTACCGCACCATTTGCAATTTAAAATATGCAAAAGAAGAAATCTAGCTATACGTGAACGTTGACCTTTTTATGCGTTTTTGCATATATGCAAATGCAGAAACACACATTGGCAAGAGGCCGTCTGTATGTGTTCACACTTTTTGTCATCCACTTTCAACTTGAGAACCAGAAAAGCTAAAAGGCTGAAACTTCGGGAGTATGTGCCTACACCAAGTGCGGCCCTCCCCTTTCAATGTCACCACCTATTTTCGCCTGGGTGCCGCGTACGGGCGCTTTAAAGAGATATGCAAATTTTTGGTAGGAAAGCGATCTTGAGAGCCAGAGTCGATGGAGCGCTGAAATTTTGCAGGGGCATTCTCTATGCAAGTGTGAGCTAAAGATTTCAAATTCAGCCCGGTTCTCACGATGAGCACGTGAAAATTTCGCCGGAAAAATCCCAGGGACTCGGAAACCAGAACTAAAAGGCTGAAATTTTAAGGGTATATTCTCCGTCCATGTACAGTTTAAAGATTTCAAACTCAACCACATGGCACGCGTAGTTTTCACATGCGGGCAATTAAAAGTTTGACGCGCAAAGTGCTTACTGAAAAGCTAGGTCATTTTCAAAGAACAACCGCTAAACGGGAACTGTTCATTTCTTTTATAGAAAATCTACGATTTATGCTATGGAGCGCAAAAGATGGGTTTAAAGCAGCAACCATTCATACAGTTAACGACCTGAGCACTACAAGTCCGATGCAAAAACCTATGATCGCACCGATAGGCCTGGTGCATTCCAACCTGGGTTAAATGTCTGGAAAGAATATAGGCTAAAAATATCATTGTAAAATTTCAGTTTCCTAGCTTCAGCGGTTGCAACACTGAACGTGGATGACAGAAATTGCAGACACATACGCACATATACTATACATACACACACACACGCACACACACATACACACACATACACTACAACTTCTCGATAATGAATTCCTGCATTTGCATAAAAAGCACAAACATAATAAACAGGTCAGAATAACCACAAGAGAATGCGTTTCTGCAGTCTTCTCCATCGGATGCTTGGCATTATGGATGTCTACTGCTTCACAGATTCATTTGTTTGCTCACTTTCAAACCGTTTTGGCCAGCTTGTTTTCCACTTTTCTTATATTCCATGCAAAAACTTCGTATCTCTAAGTATGACAGTGATAGGCGTCGGAGCTACTTTCACGTTCATGTGTCTGCGCACTGATAAAGAACATCTCCGAGGAACTCCCACCTTTTAGTTTGTGTGGTTACCCAGTTGGCAAATACCAACAGTGTCCCAGTTTCAAAAAATCTTACGTACTTGCACTCAGTACATAGGCGTATGTGGAGGCTGAATCTAAATTTTCAGGATTTCACATGGACAGGGCAAGCAATCGTCAAATTTCAGCTTTTTAGCTTCCCTGGTTGCTCAGCTAAAAAACCTGCGCAAATATCTAAACATGCACAAATACACACATGCACGCACGTACACACATACGTGCATACACACACACACACACATAAACACACATCTCGACAATATGTTTTTGTATTGCAATAGAGCAAAAAAGCATAAAAATCGAAAAAAAAACTAAAACTTGCCAAAAACAATACCAATACCTGGCTAAAAGCAAAATTTAAAAAAAAAAATTTTTAAGCTTCTCGGCGCTAAAGTATGCACATAATACGTGTACCAGATATAAGTACTGCAACTTATCAAAGAAGCGCGTAAAAATGGCTTTACGTAACGATTTTGCCTGATATACATAGCAGTGGCACAAAGATTCAACAACAACAACACATATGGACATTTTATTGGACCCCGAAACAACTTAACAAAAATGTATCGATAACAAAAACCGCACAAAAAAGTAACAAAGTACCCTTGGAAAGACAAAATAATTATTAATATTATAATTCGCCAATGTTTTCATTAAGATTTACAGACAATGATAATAACTGAGCCAAAGATGACAGGGAACTAATAAATACTATATCTTTGGTCAAACTGCTGGCAAGCAAAGATGGAGAATTGTATTAATGACTAATATAGCTATTTCCAGTGGGTCTTCAGCACGGAAATAAGGAAACTGAGAGATAAACATAACGATTTAGTTACAGTGAACTAAGAGGTTGAGGTAAGAACTGTACAACTGAATGGATCGAAAGCTCGGCAACAAGAACTAAACAGTGTAAAAATTCGTAGTAAATGTTCAATATCTAATATCCGATATTAGACACGGGCTGTGCAACGGACTTCTGCAAAAACCCACACAAGGAGGGAGCCGCACAATCAGGCTAGCGATTTCTACGTGGGCTCGAACCTGCCCGGCCCGAGATTTTGTACCTTTCAACTCATTTTCCTCAACTGCTCTTTTCTCATCTGATTATTAAAAGTTAATGTGAGCAAGAAAAAACTCGTGCTGGCCCGTACTACTGCTATACCATAACACTCTAAATAAGGAAACCATGCTAAAATGTTTCTAGTCCACAAACACTGCAATAAGTTAATCTTACGTATTCGGTCGGCACTTGAACAGCACAAAAACTGAAACTATGAAAAGAATAACAACAATACCGAAGCTGAATTTTGCAGTGTGCTGAACTAAAACATTACTGTCTGGGCCTGGGTCAGCAGCTGGCAAACTGGTGGCCGGTCTGTTCCCAAGTGGTACATCTTCCTGAAATGCAATTTCCTCGCAATCTCTGAGACGTACATCGATGCTCCCAAAAATCCCTTTTGCAAACAACTGAATTTAGTAACCCAGACATATTCGTGGTTATTACAGCAGACAATTAGAATTAATGGAGAAAACAAAGTCAGTGCTGACGAAGGAACCCAAAATTCCCAAATGCAAGACAAGTTTAGTACTATCACGGTTCATGCGGTCTTCTGGCCCAGACATTTCATCATAAGCTCAGCTAAAATAACAGAAAGCCAATTGTTAGTCAGTAAAAAAATCGAGACACCTGGCGCCATTGTGCAAAAATAATCTGAAATTATAAGCCGTTCAAGCGATCTGCCGCACTCCCAAGCACTGTATTTTTCACGCTACCCATGTTATCAAAAAAAAAAGGAAAAATACATGCTACGAATAAGAAAATTAACTGAGATGGCCTAATTAAACTTAAGAGAAAATTGTAAAAGACGCCGAAATAGAGAGAGAGAAAGAGGCAAAACTGTGGCATCCTAAGAATCGATACCTCAGCGTTCGCTCTACACTAATTTGGTCCGGTTGAGCTTTTGCATGACTTGCAGTTGCTGTCCTATCAACTCAAGGGCAGGAATAACTGCAGGAAGTAAATGTTAAAATCATGAATAAATGATTAATGCACAACATCACATACAATGGGGAACAATTAAAAAAGCAACAAAATAATGAAACACAAGCTGGAACCAAATCTGTGAGAACTCTGATGAAATATGCAAAAATTCGATGGAAATTTGGGAAGACTGCAAGCAAAGCAGGCGTGGGAATACTATATTTAGACAGCGATAAAAAAACAGATTTCTGAACGGCCAAATACCTGTCCTTTTTGAAAGTTAATTTTTCAGGAAAATTCAACTCCAGTCAGTTGGGAGAGTGAAACGCATGGGAACGATGTGACTTCCATCATCAAAAATAAGTAATTAAATGCAGTAAGCAGAAAATCTGTGAAAAATGCATGCACAAAACAATGAGGTTACCAAATTGGCATGCCCGACAGACCAATACTAAC